TAGTGCTTTTAAACTTTAAAACTGATCACACAGTTATCTATTAATGGTTAAGGCCATTAGGTAAGAATTCTATAGACACGTGAAAACTTCGTAAAAACTATAAAAACTGTTGGGGCGCCTGGGTGGCTCAGTCGGTTAAGCGACTGCCTTCGGCTCAGGTCATGATCCTGGAGTCCCGGGATCGAGTCCCACGTCGGGCTTCCTGCTCGGCAGGGAGTCTGCTTCTCCCTCTGACCCTCCTCCCTCTCGTGCTCTCTATCTCTCATTCTCTCTCTCTCAAATAAATAAATAAAATCTTTAAAAAAAAAAAAAACTATAAAAACTGTTGCCTCTAACAACCCTGGAATTTATAAACAATTCAGTAATTAAGAAAAAAAAACCCTCTAAGCTCCAAAGTTTAAAAACTTTAAAATTAAGCCTCTTCTTCATCATTTATGATTTAAGAAAGGTATTTTCACTCATTTCTAAAAGCCAGATCTACCAATTTCCAAGTTTCCAATCAAATTTGAGTTAGTAGCTTTCACAAATTACAAAAGGCATTTAAAACTAAAATTACTTAATCCCTAAATAAGTTTTTAAAACTATTTTTTTTTTTAAGAATAAAACATCAAAACATTCTCTCTCAGTTCAGCGGTCTTTTTTAAAAAGGAATAAAAGATGGAGCTGTAAGTACTAACAATAGGCAAATAATATAAATCAGAAACTATGTTTTTACACCAGCTCTTAAATAAGTCTATTATTTTAAAAGCTTTTGCAACCATTTGCAAGAAAGGGAAAAATCACAAAGGACCTAATTTTTGCCAAAGGGACTTTATAAAAGCATTCCAGCTCTAATTTGGTTTGATACTGTTAGAAACGGCGAAAATGCAAATACCAAACACCCTTAACTACAAAGGACAAGCATATTTTTTTAGTAAAAGGCGTGCCTGGGTGTTAAGAGACAATTTGTTTCAATCTGGCATAGGTTTGACAGCTTCAGAGTAAAAGGAACAAGCAAAACGTGATAGTTATATCATGCATGAACAGATATTTTAAACCTTAGAAGATTAACTATGCTTGAAAACTAAGCAAGTTTGGACTTCCTTTACATTGTCCATTACAAACTTTGCAATTAAATGCCTGCCAAATTGTGTGAACTGATGTAGGGTTCCTGGCACTTTTGTGATTCAGAAATAACACCTTACAAGGGAAATAAAGAGAACTCTTGAGGGGGAAATGTCAAATGCAAACAGGTTTTTCAATTGGGCCATATCTTTTGTTGTTCTTGTTCCTGATGTTTAAAGTCAGATTTGAAAGACAGTCTTTTCAGAAGTCTAATGAAAGAATAAACTTGTTTTACCTTGATATCATTTTTCAGTTTACTTTGAAAATAAAGTTTCTACTAAGCCAGTTTACAAATCTTTCTAATCTATACAGGTTAGAATAGAAAATGTTCATATCCATTTCTGTAAGAACAGGCCCAAGGTGCATTTTCTAGATAAAACTATAAATAAATTTTTAAAAAATCACAGGCGACTGCAAAAGAATTTTATGTCTCTTACTCACTTTCCTCATGGAGAAATGCCTTTTCACTCCTTCAGGTGAAACATGTAAGGAACATGAAAGCAAAAGAAATGCCAGGAATCATTAGATACTTCCTAGACAGATACTGACACCAACCTCAGGAAAACCTAATGGGGATCCCTACTACCTTAGAAAAACAAAAAACTACCCACCATAAATAATGTGGTACAGTTCAAACTCGGAAATATATCTTGTCTAAAAAACACAAAAGAAAACATCTCTGCTTTACATTTTAAACAATTCTTGCTGATAAATAGGCAATGTTTTTACAACAGCATGTATAGTGAAGTCTGTACATAAAGGTTCACGCTGGTTTTCACCCTTGGCAACCAAAACACACTTGAAGAGAAACTACTGAAGAAAAAGTCTCATTTCAGAAGTGATTTCGCTCATTAAATGGGGAAAGAGAAGAAATTATTCATGTTTTGATCTTAACCATAGGTAAGTTCAGAAGGCAACTGCATTTGCAGCAAGAACTATATCCTTACAAAGATACTATTTAAAAAAAAGAAAAAAAGGTAGAATTACAAATAAGTTTTGAAATAGATACTGGACTCTTATATGGTCACCTCGTTTCAGAGGATCTTATGCAGAAAATAAATTTCAATGGGAAATACGTTTTCACCCCTCACAAAAAATAAATTTAGTCCCTCATAATTTTCCCACCAAAAACTCATTTTAGAAATAATTTATTACATGAAAGTATTACTATAAAATATTTTAAAAGATTAAGGTCATACTTATGTATGCATATAGTTTCAAAAATATTATGAGGATTCAGGGCACAAGTTGTTAGCTGAATGGGAGAAAGAGATGAAGCTATCCATTGTGCACAGAAATAATCTCATTCCTATATATAAAAAGGTACCAAAACTAAGTCCCACTCGTGCTTCTTCCCAATGTTTAATACGTAACTTCACACATCGTGTTTCTGAGTGATGAAGATCCTCGAATACTACTAAAAAAAGGTGTTCTGAATAGACATACTTAGGCTGACTAAAGTATATTTATTATCAGAAAATATAAAATTCTGAACAAAAGCCATGATGGATAAAGGATTCATCACATCAGAAGCAAGAAATTCCCTTTAATGCGTGAGGTGACTCAGAGTGCAATAATTCACTTTACCTGCAACTGAAATCTGGAAATGCTGGACTTGAAAAATGTCAACAGTATAGATCATCACTGAAAAGTTAATGGTTTCCTCTCAATCAGGCAGCAAAAGCAGGAGGAAAAAACTCAAAGTCACACTTTAGAGTCTAGATCTAAATAGTAATTCATATAATGTGAGACAGAAATTCGAATGAGAGACCATAAGAAATATCTCGAGACAAAAGGGGAAGGGAGATGAAATTCAACTGAGGGGGGGAAAAAAGTAAACGTGATACAAAGCTTAAAGGATTTAGCAGGAACAAATGAATACACAGAAAAAATTCTAAGGTGTGTGAAAGGAAACCGGAAGATGCGGAGATGGTAGAAAGTTGTGCAAGGAAGCAGTTTTCACAGATTCCTCTTCATTCTAAGGGAGGTAGGGCTGTCCATTTCTTTAGAACAATGAAGATCTGTTACTCTTTATATGCTCATTTTTCTTACACATCAGAGCTGGAAAACATCAAGGGTGTAAGTCCAAATGAAGACAGAAATCCTATACATGTGAAGATTACAGTTCAGATAAGCACACTTAGTACATCATAAAATGTTAAAACCAAGTTTTATTTCAATCTGCCAAACTGGAGACATACAATGACCTAAACACATCCCTTTAAACCCCTTTCCTTGCAAAAAAACAAATGATGGTGGTAAAAGGAGCATTTCTGAGGTTTGAACGAAGTAACGTATAGCAGAACCTTAGGAAAGGCTTTATTTAACTTTCTTTTAAACTTTAGGTTTTTCTTCGAGTAACCCCTGAAACCATTCAATGTCACCAATGCCATAAAAAAGAAACCTTGGCCAACATTCATCTACAAAACTGCTTTTAAAAAATAGCAGTCCTTCTCCTTGGCCAACCCTACCACCTTCTACTAGATGGTTTGTCCCCATCCTCTCAGTGAAAGAAAAAGCAAACAACTACACTAAAAGTATTCAGTGTGAGAATAAAGCTTTATGAAATTGTCACTAAACATAATGCACATTTCCAGTCGCTTTGTCACCTGTAGAGTCATTAATAACCCCTTTTGGCTGCCTGAACAGCTCAGCCACCTCCTGAAGGAAAGAGGGGTGGAGAAAGGTCCTCAGTAGAGGTTGTCAGTGTTGGTGCTCCGAGGGGTTTTGATCTTCTCGATGTTTTTGAGGATTACGTCGTGCAAGGTGGCATACTGGTTCCGAACATGCAGCAGGATCTGGCGCACACTCAGATACTCGTTTTCGTCTACCTCGGCTACAGTGCGGCGATAATCTTCCACCTGGGGGTACTTCACTATCTTGGACACCAGCTTGGCCCTGGTGTTGTAGTAGGTGGAGAAGCGGCGCAGATAGGAGGCTGCGGTGCTCTCCACGGTCCACAGCTGGTCCACGGTGTCCTCCTGGATGGACACTCCGAAGTTGTTGCCGTCCTCCACCTTCGGGATGAGCAGCTGCACCCACATCCGCACCGTGTTGCATTTCTCTCTCAGCAGCTCGATCTCGGGTTTTACCCACTCAATCAGCTCCACCAGATGCTGGTTGCTCCGCAGCAGCTGTCCCTCGCCCCCTGGCAGTGCCGGCACTTTGACCGTGGACTGGGCCTGCAGAGGCGGCGGGTCGCGGTTGGGCCCGTCCCCCGCGGTGTCGGGCACGGCGGGGGGCTCCGGGGCGGGCACCGAACGGATTCTGGACAGGTCTTGCAGTCGGAGCTCCTGGACCCGACTATCCAGCTCCGACAGCTTCTGAGGGAAGAAGGTGGACACCAGAGCCTCGGCCTCCTGCGCGATGCGGGCGCGAAATGAATCCACTTTCCCCTGCACGTCCTGTTCCAGCTTCAGCGGGGAAGCCATGACGTCCAGGGGCGTCGAGCGTTGGGGCGGACACCACCCGGGTTCCCCCCGCCGCCGCAGGGTGGCCTTGAGCTTCCGCCGCCAACAACTCCCAACAGACCACGCCCAGCCACGCCGGAAATGACGTCCTGGAGTCCCGGCGGCCCATGCGGGGGCGGGGGGAAGGGAGCCGCGCGCGGACCATGCCCTCCCAGCGACGCCCCAGCCGAGTGGCCCCGCTTCCTGGGTCACGTGGGGGTGGGGGGCTGGGGAGAGGAGTCTCTGCGGATCCAGTTCCCCGGAGCAGCCCGTTTACCCCACCTCCAGGCCTCTCCGCCGGAACCTGTGCCGGATTGATGGCTCCAAAGGACATCGTTAAACTTAAGCACCGTGAAGACCAAGCAACGACAAGTCGATGTACTTTACAAAGGAGCTCAAGGAAATCCATGATCCCTGGACTCTGGACACACAAGTCTCTTTTGAAAGGCACCTCGAGGAATGAGCTCTCCAGAGTAAGGCTCACTTCTGGAGAGCCAGAAGTCACACCTTTACTGGTAACTTGAGCGAAGCCATGCTTTTCTCCTTACAAAGTCAGAAGTGGTTCCCCCTTCACTATGGTATTTTAATCAAGTTAGTAAAGTTCGGAGCTCTTCTATGGCTTACTTCATACAACTTTTAGTTTGAGTTACAAATGTTAAGGTCTAGGATTCTTCTTAAAGCTCATCTTCTTTGGGATAATTAACAATTTGAATCTGGACTGTAAAATTAAAGTATCAAATATCCTGAATTTGAGAATTATATTCTAGTTACAGAAGTGAATACCCTTTTTTTTAAATACACACTACAGTATTAAGGGATAAAGTGACATGATATATTTAAACTATTCTCAGATGGTTTGCAAAAATAGTGTGCATGTATAGGTGTATAGAGAAAGAATGTTAAAGCATGTGGGGAAATGTTAAAAATTGATGAATCTACATAAAGGTGTATGGGAGTTCAATATTAGTTGTAACTCTTCTAAAGCTTGAACTTATTTCAAAATAAAAAAATGAAAAAAACTCCCCTAAAGGCTTCCAGAATCATAAAGACAAATTCTATAACCTTCTAAAATTTCACTCCATTTCTTTATTTTCATTTCCCTGAGATACTTTCCTTTTGTTCTTTGCAACACCACAGTGCATGCCTTTGATTTATACTTAAATTACTGAAGTTTAGTTCAAAAAAGGATTATTCTAAAGATGCTATAGTATAGTTCTGAATGTAACTGTCACCTCAATTGGACTGTAAACTTCAGGACATAGGTCAAGTCTTAATTTGTTGCCATCACATGTGGCACAAGGCCTGGCATGGATCAGGTGCTCGATACATGTCTGACGAAATGACCTTGAATTAGTAAGATTTTAGCAAACCATAATTTCACAAGATCTAGAACAAAAAACAAAGTGTCAATAAGACAAACATGTTACAGGTTGGTCTCCCCAGCAAGCAGACAGAGATTGCTTATAGCAGGTTTATCAAGGAGTGTTCTTGAGAAAGGACCTGTGAAAAGGAAGAGACAGAACAGAGGGAGAAGTTAAGCCACTGATGCAATCTCAGAGCCTCAGTAGACCCCAGGGGAAACCAGGAAAGCCCCTTCACAGTTGTCCTGAGTTGGGGACAAGACAATTCCTGAAGAGGGCTGTTGCAGGACTTCCAGCAGCTGGAAAATAAATTCTTTAGTTCTGAGGCAGGAACTGGGGAGGGCATCAAAGCTTCAAGTACACATGTATCATAGTAAGATACCTATACTAACAAACTAGCAATTTAAGTTGTATTCAAGTCAAAAGTCAACTGTGTTCAGCCCTAATTAGGGGCTGAAATTTGTGTTTAGATCACTGCACGTCTTGGAATGTGACAAAGAAGGATGTGGTGGAGGGAATTATATTTTCAAAGATAGGTGTTTGGATAAAGGTGCGTATGTATTGTGGCTCTATGGGGATGTGGGGGGGGCTACCGGGGAATTACTGGTAAGTTGGATCTTAGGGTATCTGGGAAAGTGGCAGCAACTGAAGCAGGAAAAGTAAGCAAAGACCAGCTCAGGGAGGCAGGGCCCTCTTTGCCATCATAAGGAAGTTGGATTTAATAAAAGCCAACAAAGGGATTCAAGCGGGGCGGGGGGAACCCACACAGATGGATGACTTCAGTGGGGAGGTAGATATGATGAAGAGAATAAAGGAAGAGGGCCTGCTGATTTAACCCAAGTGGTAAAGAATGCCTCTTTCAGAGTGATGGCAATGGGGCTAGAGAGAAGACTCTAGAGAGTTTTAGGAAGTATAATTACAGTACCTGGTGATAGTTTTGGATGTGGAGAGATGAGAAAAGACAGATTTCGATATTATTTTTTTTTTTTTGGTTAGAGAAAAAATTTCTATTTATACATTAAACTTCTAAGAGATGACTTGGGTATATATACATTTTTATACATGCAAATTTACATTCAAGTTATGGGAATTCAGATAGGGTAATCAAACAGAAAAGGAAAATCAAATCTTGAAACATGACCACGGTTTTCCCATATCTTGATTTTCTTCATAACTTTATGAAAGATTACAAGGGGGCTACTATGGAAATTCTCTTTAATGTGAAAAACGTCCTCAATGTTATATATGGTTTATTGAATTGTTACTCTATTTTCAAAGAGAATATTTCTAGTTAATGGGTACTTACTTTCTACTTACGACACTGACTAATGCAGCCATTTATATGAAATTATTTTCTTTCATTGAGAATAGGATATAAAATCCTTTGGGGCGGCTCAGCTGCTCTTTTCTCTAGTGTGGTGTAAGAATTTTATTTATTCATAATATGTTTCTTGTTCTTGTTAATTAGAGCAGCAGTTGGTAGGAAAATGACAGCTCCTAATTTTTCTTTCCCCACTGACCACCAGCATCAGCAGTTGTTTTTTTTAAATTATTTAATGCACTTGCATGCCCTGATTCGGCCCATGAAATTAACACTGAATGCTAACAGGTGGAGGAAGGCTGGCAACAGCTGTGTAGAGTGTTGTCTTGTTCAGGTTTCTCCCTTCTCACAGTTGGCAGGGTTCAGCATGTACTGATGCCAATAATGACACACCACTTTAATTTTAGGAATACCTACAAATTTGTGGATTGATTTATCCTTTAAATATCCTCCAACTCTGAAACTATGCCCCTGAAGAAAGGATTCTGTGGTCCTATGTATGAGTTCCATTTGTAAAATTATTCTAAGCAACTGTTGTTGTGTCAACTCTTAGATACAAATGTAACTGAGGATACAGATTGGAATTTAATCCTTCAAGATACTTAATTTTCAGGTGCCTGGGTGGCTCAGTTGGTTAAGCGACTGCCTTCATCAGGTCATGATCCTGGAGTCCCAGGATCGAGTCCAGTCCCGCATCCATCGGGCTTCCTGCTCAGCCAGGGAGTCGGCTTTCTCCCTCTGACCCTCCCCTCCCCTCATGCTTTCTCTCTCTCTCAAATAAATAAAATCTTTTAAAAAAATATTTATTTCCCCACTGATTTCTGTCAATAAGTTAGGAGAAAAATAATCAATGGGGCTAAACCTAGATTAAGATTCTGATGAGTGGTAATATTTATCCCCTTCTGTTTATGAAATTCCTCATCACCAGGTTGCAATGGATCTTAAATTATCTAGGCCAAAGGGCTTCATTCACAACTTATGATTACCCCCCAGTGAGCATAAAAGGCTTACTTCTACAATGTAGTACTGCGAACCCTGCCAGAGTCACTTTCTAGAGTAGACAGATATCTCACGTCCCCTTCCTCCACTCTTCCTCCTAGACTGCTGCAGGTAAGGGCACAGAAATAAACAACGTAGGGGCACCTGCTACCCTGCCCTTTGGTCAGTGGTCACTGCCAGTTCAGCGTCTCCAGAACCGGTCTCCAGATGGGACCTGTGCACGCCTTTCATGAAGACAAATGCTGCTAGAGCATGTGGCTAAGGCCATGCCGTTTCCCCACTGTATTCCAACCCCGGCTTTGCTACTTACTAGCCACGGGACCCTGCTCAGTTATTTAACCTCCCCAAGCTTCGTTTTCATCTATAAAATGGGCAATATAACAATAGTGATCTTGTAAAAGTTGCTTTGAGGATGAAGTTAGTTAATCCATGTAGTTTAGCACAGTGCCTCGAACATGGTAACTGCTCAGTAAATGTTAGCCATTGATGAAGGAGAGTCTCCTCATCAACATTTCAACATCTCCCTTCACCCTTTGAAATGGAGAACTGTGAGTTCTATACAGACAAACCAAGATATAATTTTCTTGTTCACGGTCTTGTTGTATATCACTGATGAGTCACTGTATTACAGAGTTGAATGTAAACAACAACAACAAAAAAAACTGGCTTGCATCTGAGATCATCAGTATTTAGAGGCCCTATCGCAGAGCGCAGGTGAAGCAAGCACAAACTTTACTGGCCACCGCAGCTGAAAAGTACATTTCTCAGCTGAACCCCTTCTGGTGAGTCATGTTTTCATCTAGTTCATATTACTTTATCTTACAAATGACATAATTGGTACAGTTTGTTAACAATGATGTCTACTATCAGCGATCTCTAAGATCACTGATTAGCAAAAATCTATTGACCTCTGGGTCCTAGATTCTTGACTTTTTAAAATGCTTTGGCCAATGACTTTCTACCAACACCACTGATTGCTTCCTTGTTTACAAAATCCCTGTTCTGGATGAACAATGAATCCTCTAGTTCTGCATTTCTCATACTGCAGTCCATCAGTTCCCTGTATTTGTGAATTCACTTTGATGATAAAATAATTGATGTAAGCATATTCTGGGGTCATAACTGCCATGCAATTTGGGGGCCCATAATTATATTTTTTATGATTATGATACCACCAAGTACCATTACTTTTAATTGATCAGAGAGAGGGGAGCCAATAATATTAGGTATGGTTATTCTTTTACCCCTCCTCCCAAAAACCTGTTAAGGCAAAGGTTTTCTTATTGGGTCAAAGAGAAATCTGGAGGGAGAATTAGGTTATCAGAGAGTACTCAACAGTAAGGAAATGTCTAAGGAAACATTGAAAGAATGTGCACCATGAGAGTCAGCATCACCTTCATTTGTCAGTAGTGACTCTTCCACAAAAATGTTATCCTTTTACATAAATTCATGTTGTTGATTTTAATTTTATCTTTGTAATTTTATTTATATTTAAGTTACACAATTATTTTGGTTTCTTTAAAGTGTTTTTTTTTTTTAATTTATTTGAGAGAGAGCGCGCTAGCAGGGGGAGGGCAGAGGAACAGGGAGGGGGAGAAGCAGACTTCCTGCTTAGCAAGGAGCCATCGCGGGGCTCACTCCCTGGACCCTGAGATCATGACCTGAGTAGAAGGCAGACACTTAACTGACTGAACCACCCAGGTGCCCATAATTATTTTGGTTTTTATAGATGTAAATATACAAGTGTAAGATGTTCTGAAAACTTAGTTCAGTGTTTGTATGTGCTTAAACAATGCCTAATAATAATGCTGGGAAATGTCTTCCTTTAAAAGAAATCATTTCCTTTGAAAATACACTCTTCTAATACCCTGTACAAACAATCAGTTATCTCCCTGAAATGCATGTCTGACCATATTTCCATCTTCTACAGGTAAGGACCAAATTCCTTAAACATGGCCCACAAGTTCCTTCATGACTGGATCCTGTCATCTTTTATTTCCCAGAACCTAGTCTACATTTCCCAACAGGTTCTCTCTCACATCCTCTGTGTTCACGTCTTCACTGCTTTCCGGGTGAAATGCTGCATTGCTTCATCTTCCTCCCACCCTCCACCTTACTCATTCATCCTTCTATAATCAACTCAAGGAGTGTTTATGAAGACACCTGCTCTGGTACCACCTTCTCCTTCCTAGGTGGGGTTAGTGTTCCTGGCACAAGTGATGTAGTGTAGTAATATCTCCCTCATAGAGCTGCTGAGGGGATTAAATGAAACAACTCACCTATAACAGCTACGACAGTAAATGCTTCATAAATAGCAGTAGATTTATTTGTAATCTTAGAGTATTCTGCATATATCTCTTTCATAGTTCCTATCACAGTGCTGCAATTTTAGATTTGCAGGTCACTTTTCTCCACTATAATAAACTTTGGGAAGGCAAGGATTTGGGCTTCTTCATTTTTATGCAGTCTGTGGTAGCAGAGGGTCTGGTAACAGCAAGTGTTCAATGCACATTTACTGAATGAATAAATGAATTAATGAAGCAAAATAGGATAAAATTTATCAGACAGGACCTGACTAGCAGAAGAGATGGGACTCTCGAGCAGCTTACCTTTTTCTTTTTGTTCCCCTGGAGAGTTGCTGAACTGTGCTACAGCACATAAATCCCTTGTGGAGTCTCACAGCAGCCTTCTGGGTTGAACTCTTCGGGGATTTATATAGGAAAAGTAGGGACCAGATTTCTTTTCCCCACCATTGCAGAATCTGACATTCTGCTTCTGACTGTAGTAACAGCCAGAATTCTGGTAGTCACCGCATTGCTTAGTTCTACAAAATCGCCCTCACTTAAATAACCGGAGTTGCTCTGTAGAACAGTAGTTGTGCAGTACTGTGTTTGTGCAAAGTGAACATACTGGGGAGTACTTGAGAGGTACACACAAGGAATAAGGGTGATGCTGGCTCTGACTCATGCTCCTACTGTTTATTTATAGCTTCTTATTAGTATGGGATTTGTTTTATTTGGCAAAAATACAAGATTTCAACTGACTGAGAGAGGAAGATGTAAGAAAATGCCTAAGCATAAAACTTCTACAGCTGAATAATAATCTGTAACTCGGTGCTGGATCAACAGGCTCCCCAGGGGCTGCAGCAAGCTGAAACCACTCCAGAATTACAAATTTCATGAGCTGTAGACTTTACTGCTAAAAGTAGTGGTTAAGTTAACTAAAGATTTTATTCCTCCATAGACACTTCCATTTATAAATGCTAAATTCACTAGCTGAGGCTAAATTTTGTGGTTAGTATACAAAATATATACAATGAGTTTTTAATTTCTCTAAATGATTTTCACCAACAGAAATGGTCAAAAGCCAAAATTTTAAATTTAAAAACACAAGCCAAAGATTTTATATGCTTCAACCTGGGAAAAAAAGTACTTTCTCAATGTTCATTTAAAATTACTCTCTGTCCTCTTACTCTGATTTCCCTTTTTAAAGAATTTATTTGAGAGAGGGTGAGAGCGAGCACATGCACAAGCAAGGGCAGAGGGAGAGAGAATTTCAAGCACACTTCCTGCTGAGCGCAGAGCCCAACGCAGGGCTTGATCTCATCACCCTGAGACCATGACCTGAGCCGAAATCAAGTGTCAGATGCTTAACAGACTAGGCTACCCAAGTGCGCCTCTGATTTTCCTTTATGGCATTTATCACAAACTGACATTCTTCTACATATTTGCTTGTATATTAGTATTTGTCCCTAGAACATAAAAGTGAGAGCTTTGTTTTGTTTATCACTGGATTCTTTACAGTGAGAACAGTCTGGAATATAATGGCTACTCATTAAATATTTTGTTGTGTGAATAACAATAAAATTGATTAAATCTCTTGATTAATTCTCTGAGGACAGCTGCATTTGTGGAAGTTTTTTTTAATTATGAAAGTAAAATAATTATTCAAATACAGTCACACTTAGCATGAATAAATTTTCAGGATAATAAAAATTCATTGAAGTTCTGAAGAATGAACACTTTTATGCTCTAAAGGTATCTCATCCTTATCTTTTCTCCTAAAAAGCAACAAAAGAGGCACTACTGGTTTTAAAAAATTTGGATTTTGATATTTATCACTACCATTTACCTTCTTAAAACAGAAGTGTTTGTTTCAAAATGAAATTAAGATTCTCATTTTGGTAGATGGAAAGTAGGCCTTCCTAGCTTTATATTTTAAACTCAGGTCAACTACACAGAACTACAGTAAAATCTGAAAAATATCAATAAAAACAACTGAGTCTGGAGTTTAGTTCTAATAAGCGTTTTGCTTAAGAACACTGTCTTCTTCCTAATGTAAGCTGAACACAAAATTGGTAAAATAATTCTAAGAGGATAACAGCTTTCAAATAATCAGCAATCATAAAAGAACAGAAATTAGGTTGACCACTTCTTTCTGTATGATACAGTATTATAAATACTTAGATATTATACTAAAAAATAAGGAAGATAAACTTTGTAACTAAAAAGCTGACCCCAAAACCTCAGCCTTAAGTGAAGTTGTTTCATCAGAATAGACACGAGCTATTTTATAATCTGAACTCATTACTTTATCATTAATTTTTTATCTTTTTAATAATCAATGGACTTCTATTATATATAATAATGTAAGGTTAACAAGCTTCATCTAAAAATGAGAAAGAACCACAACTTTGTACAGTAACATTTATTAATAATTACTAAACATATGCTGATATAATTGTTTTAAAAATCTATATATGACTGTATTTATATACTATTAATACTTATAAGAAAACAATAAAGACTGACTTAATGCTACAAAGGAAAATAATGTTTCTTATATCCTCTGGATGAACTCATGACATACCACTCATACGGCTCCTATCTGATATCAATATGGAAAGGTCAGATTAAAGACTACATAGCTTCTTTCCAGCCATTAGCTGATGTCATTACATCCATCAAAATGAATGTGAAATAGTCAGTTTGAATAAACACTAAAAAGAGGAGAATACGTTCTATCCCTTCCCCAATCACATCAGAATCTTGTGAAATGGAAAAACAACAGAAAGAGGGATCAAAGGAAGCCAATCTCTCACATACTTTCCAGGCAGGACAGAGTGGGGAGTCAGACCAGGGGAAGAGGTGGGTGGACAGCCCTGTTTGAAGGTGTGGCTGATCCACAGGAAGGAAGCATGAAGGGGGCAGGAAGCCCTAGGAAGAGGGCGCCCCCCTCTGTTGGGTCCCCAGGGGATCTTTCTCCCCTCCCCCACATGAGGCAGATGTCAGCTGTCTGCCAACCCCCACCCTCCAGGAATGCCCTTGTCCGGGAATGCCCACCACACATACCCTCTTCTTCTGTCCCGGTCAGACTGTTTCCTCCTCGGCCTGCCTCCCTCCGTCCCTCTAAACCTTTATTTCTGATTTCTATTTCAGGGAATTTGGGACCCAAGTTAAACTACAACAGTGCCACCAACACCAAGTCTTTCAGGAAAAAAATACAAAGAAATTAACAAAAAATATATTAATGAAAAAGTCTTAAAAAAAAAAAAGAGCAAGGGCATCTGGGTGGCACAGTTGGTTGAACGTCCAACTCTTGGTTTCAGCTCCGGTCAAGCTCTCAGGCTTGTGAGATCGAGCCCCGCCTCAGGCTTGCACTCAGCTCAGAGTTACCTTGAGTTTCCCTCTCCTCCCTCTGCTCCCTACCCATGCACACATGTGCACGCACACACAAAATCCCTAAAATAATTCTTAAAAAAAAAAAAAGCAGGGCACTTGGGTGGCTCTGTTGGTTAAGCGTCTGCCTTTGGCTCAGGTCATGATCCCGGGGTCCTGGGACCAAGCCCCACATCAGGGAGCCGCCTCTCCCTCTTCTGTCGCTCCCCCTGCTCGTGCTCTCTCTGACAAATAAATTAAAAAAAAGAGAGAGCGCAGAAAAGCTGGTGTCTACTGTTACTCAGTTTTCTGTACGTCATCTACATCTCTAGTTTGTGAAGACATCACATGAAATGAACACTGAATTAGTATCAACACAGTAGCTCAGGCGGTTAAGCGTGACTCTTGATTTTGACTCAGGTCACGATCTCAGGGTTGTGAGATGCAGCCCCGCACTGGGCTCTGTGCTGGGCGTGGAGCCTGCTTAAGATTTTCTCTCTTGGGGCACCTGTGTCTCAGTCAGTTAAGCGTCTGCCTTCAGCTCAGGTCATGATCCCGGAGTCCTGGGATCGAGCCCTGAGTTGGGCTCCCTGCTCAGCAGGAAGTCTGCTTCTCCCTCTCCCTCTGCTCATGCATGCTCGCTTGCTCTCAAATAAATAAATAGAATCTTTAAAAAAAAAAAAAAAAAGGTTCTCCCCTACCCCCACTCGTGCTCTCTCTCTCAAATAAAATAACTAAAATCACTTTTTAAAAAGGCTATTATAAGAGGTTATACTATGAGGGAGATTCTGTTTGGAAAAGCCCTTCCTTTCAAATTTATGATTCCCTTTCCCCACAAAAGTGACACAGGGTATCTAAATCAAGCCTTCATAAACCTAGATAACAGACAGTAATGTAAAAGCCACTGTACAATCTTGCAGATTTCATACTTTCCAAATGTGCCAATTTTCTGTCTGTTGATGGAAGTTAAGGAAAATAATAGCATCAAAATGAATCTCTATGGGGAGCTGAGGTTGGGAGGGATCATGGATGACGGTGCTACATCTAATGAAAAACAATCTCCCCTTGGCCTATCCATTTATAGGTTCTTCCAACCATAAGCCATAACCTTCAAAGGTCAAGCCCCTAACAGACATATACTGAACACCTACTATGTGTTAAGTACGGTGCTGGTACTTGGTTTTTCATTTAAACTTATTAACCTAAAAGAAGTAATTATTAATATTACTATATTAGAGATAAGGACATTGAGGCTCTGAAAAGCATTCCCTTATAATCTCTGAGTTTGTAAGCAGTAGAACAAGGCTGGATGAAATGCACATTCACCTGACTCCAGAGTCCATGCCTCATGACTGCCTACCAGAAAATGCTCTATCAAGCCCCCCAAAAGTGACTTTCTCCACTAAACTAAAAAGTAATGACTCATGATTAAGTGGAAAGGCTTTTTTTTCTTACTTCTGAATAAGGCTGCACAATGCTACAGGATGAACTATCTATACCCTGTGCTATTTTTTTACTCTTTAAACCAATCCTAAAATATGTGTATATGTAGGTATGTGTATATATACATATTCATACACACAGAATACATATATTTTTAGAAGACTAATTCT